CCTTAGGGGGCTCCCAGGCTATCTTGCACATAAAAATAGGGCTAGAATTTGGTGCCTTAAGTCCTTAAGTGGATAAAAATAATCTCAGCAAAAATAACTCAGCTGGGCAAATGCTTGGAGGCAAACTGGTGTTTATGTTGCAAATTCCAATATTACAATATGGGGGACCTTGATTGTTAACGATAACATAAAGAAAGCATCTCCTGCTTTCAACACGTGCAAGATGAACATTAGAAACTAAGGCAGATAACATCATATTTGCTGATCAGCACAGTTAATTTACTGCATAGGTTCCTGAAAATCCAAAGCCTGGGGTAACTAGTGAATAATTCAGAAGGCTTCCGTCTTATTCAAGGACCTCTTGGTGACACTTTCTTGACTCCTGATGTATTCAAAGGATGCCCAATTGTCACTGGAACATTAATTTATAAGATTTATAGCTCTTCCATTACATAATTCTTTTTAAAAAGAGAGAGCATTTTTCTCCAACTTCTGAATACAAATTATAGAACTATAAATCAGAGCCAACAGTTTTGATTTGCCCCATAGATATTATTAAGCAGAATCATGTTAAATCAATCGCTTTGCAAAATTGAAGGCAACATGTTCAAACTGTATAAAATGCCCTATATTTGTATATGAATACTGGCTGATAGCAAGCTTTGAGAATTCAATGAAAGATAATGGACTCACAGAATATAATGTTTGGAAGTGACCTTAGAAAACATCTAGCCCAATGTCCTGCCCAATGCAGGTGTCTACTACAGTATCACTGACCGATGACGATCCAGCCTCTATTTAAAGACTTTTATTGAAGGAAGTTATCTCCCGACACTGTTGATTTACTGTTGAATGGCTTTTATCATCAGGAAATTTTTCCTGATTTCCAACTGAAAACTATCTCTTTGTAATTTAAATCAACCATTTCTTCTGGAATAACTGAGAACAGGTCTACCTTATCTTCTGCATGACAACCCTTCAGCTACTTCAAAACAGCTATCATGTATCCTGCAGCCTCCAGGTGGGTTAAAAATATCCATCACCAACAACATTAATAATTTTTTCTTATAATTTTTTCTTTCTTGGCTCTTACCATTTTAAGCTGTTTTCCTTTGGACATGCTCTAGTTTGTTGGTTAATTCCTAAAGTTTAGTAGCCCAAACTGGGCATAATATTATTGGTGTGAGCTGGCTAACACAGATCTCTTGATCTTGACGCTATATTTCTATTGATACAGACCAGGATTGTCTTTGGGCATTTGGGGACTCATGTGATCCACCAAGACACCTACATCCTTTTCACGTCACTGTCTCCCAGTATGATTTCTTTTATCTTGCACTCATACTTTTG